AGATCAAAAGAGGACACTTTTCAGTAACCCATATTTCTAAGAAGAAATAAGACAGAAAAATAAGTATTTTTAGTTGAATGAAACTTAGAACAAAGCATATCAAAATGCATGAGATGTGCCATAGTACTTACAAAGAAATACAGTGGCACTAAATGCCGATGTTAAAAAAGAAATGACTCAAATTAATGACTCTATTTTTCACCTAACAAATTAGAGAAAGAAGAACAATGAAACCCAAAGTTAACACAAGAATGGAAATAATGAAAATCAGAATAGAAGGCAATGAGATAGAAACCTGAAAAACAAAAGGTGATTTTTTTGAGAAAGTCAATGAAACAAAAAAATTGCAGACTGTTAAAGAACAAAAGACAAAGGGCCAGGCGCGGTGGCTCAAGCCTGTAATGCCAGCACTTTGGGAGGCCGAGATGGGTGGATCACGAGGTCAAGAGATCGAGACCATCCTGGTCAACATGGTGAAACCCCGTCTCTACTAAAAATATAAAAAATTAGCTGGGCATGGTGGCACGTGCCTGTAATCCCAGCTACTCAGGAGGCTGAGGCAGGAGAATTGCCTGAACCCAGGAGGCGGAGGTTGCGGTGAGCTGAGGTCACGCCATTGCACTCCAGCCTGGGTAACAAGAGCGAAACTCTGTCTCAAAAAAAAAAAAAAAAAAAAGAACAAAAGACATTATACAAGTTATCAGCCTCTGGAATGGCAGATGTGGCATCACTACAAATAATATAGTTATTAAATGAATAAAAGAATGTTACGAACTTCATGCAAATAATTTGACAATTTAAAAATACTTGAGGGAAGCTAACAAGGTTTACTGAAGAAATATTTAGTTTTATATCTATTAGAAAAATAGAACTTTTAATTTAAGCCTTCCAAATCTTTTCAGATATCTTTGTTTACTGCGACTTTAATTCTGTTATAGTCAAGGAATATAGTTTAGAAAAATTTTAATTTATCAATATTTATACTCTGTCTTGGTGAATGTTCATGAACACTTCAAAAGAATTTGTACCCTGTCTGGGTTGTTTGGAGTGTTTTATATTAATAAATGTCAACTAGGTCAAGTTGGTTGATTATGTTGTTGAGGTCTTCTATATGCTCACAGATTTTTTATCTACTTGTTCTATTAATTACCAAGAGGAGGAATGAAGTCTCCAATGACAATCACCAATTTGTCTTTTTCTCTTTTCATGTTCTATCATTTTTCCTTTGCAATTCAATGTGTAGTCATTTACAATTACATTTTCCTGGCCAGGTGTGGTGGCTCACGCCTGTAATCCCAGCACTTTGGAAGGCCGGGATGGGTGGATCACATGAGGTCAGGAGTTCGACACCATCCTGACCAATGTGGTAAAACCCTGTCTCGACTAAAAATACAAAAATTAGCCAGGCATGATGGCTAATAGTGCCTGTAGTCCCAGCTACTCAGGAGGCTGAGACAGGAGAATCACTAGAAGCAGGAGACAGAGGTTGCAATAAGTCAAGGTCACACCATTGCACTCCAGCCTGGGGGCCAAGAGCAAGACTCTTGTCTCAAAATAAAAAATAAATTTTCCCAGCAAATGGATCCTTTTATCATTATGATATCTCACTGTTATCCCTGATTGTACTTGTTCTGAAGTCTACTTCATCTGATAATAATATAGTCATTTCTGCTTTTTTGTTTATGTTTACATGTTGTATCTTTTCCCCACCATTTAACTTTTAATTTAACTATGGCTTTATATTTACAGTGTGTTTCTGGTAGACAGCATATAGTTGGATACTGCTTTACCATTCATAGAAGCTCTTTTAACTGGTATACTTAGATCATTGACATTTGATATTTTTAAATACACAGATTCATATCTATCCACCTTGTTAACTATATCCTAATTGTTCTAGCTGTTCCTTGGTTTTTGTTCTATTTTTGCGTTCTATAGTCTAAATGAACATTTTCAATGATTCTATTTTATATTAACTTATTGTTTACATCTCATTAAACATTTTCAGTGATTACATCTTTAATTGGAATATACATTCAAATAATACACAAATTAACACGTTAAGATCTTATATATTCCGGCTGGGCGCGGTGGCTCAAGCCTGTAATCCCAGCACTCTGGGAGGCCGAGGCGGGTGGATCACAAGGTCAAGAGATCGAGACCATCCTGGTCAACATGGTGAAACCCCATCTCGACTAAAATTACAAAAAAAAAATTAGCTGGGCATGGTGGCGCGTGCCTGTAATCCCAGCTACTCAGGAGGCTGAGGCAGGAGAATTGCCTGAACCCAGGAGGTGGAGGTTGCGGTGAGCCGAGATCGCACTATTGCACTGGGTAACAAGAGCGAAACTCCATCTCAAAAAAAAAAAAAAAAACTTAAATATTCCCATTTTTTCCCTGACATCCATTATGCTTCTGTCATATTTTACTTTTATATGCCATAAACACATGGTTCATTTTTACTCTAAGACAGCCAGTTACTTTCTGCATTTTTAAAGTTATTCCCTTCATGTATTCAGTTTCCACATGTCTTCATTTCTTTGTGTATCTCCAAGTGTCTGTTGTGGTTCAGATTCCTTGTTTGAAGAACTTTTCTTGTAGAGTAGGTCTTCTCTGAGAGTATTTCTCTATCAATTTGAAAGAGTTTCATGAACATTTTGTGAACAAATGTTTTCTCTTTCAGCTCTTAAAAGATGTCATTACATTGTCCTTGGGTCTGCAATACTTTTAAGTTGCTGTAATTTTCTTAACTTTGTTCATCTATGTGTAATTATTCCCCCCTCTCTGGCTTGCTTCAAAAAATTTTTTCCAGCAGTTTGTACATAATACTCATTACTGTTTGCCATTATTCTAAAATCTGTAATTTTCTCCTGGCCTTCAGTAGCTTTCCAACTTTTGTGTGCCTAATAAATTCATGTTCTTCCTTTAACACTAACTACAAAAACAATTCCTGTCCCCATACCTCCATCACAATGAAGTTTATCATCCTCTTCTCTGTACTACCCACACACCTCATAAAGATTTCCATATTTTGTTACCTGAATTGCCTGGTAAACTCTAAGTGTCTGTTGGCAAGAACGGTATCTTATTAGTTTGCATATCCCCAGGATTTAGTAGTTATTGGTCCAGGGTATCTACACGCACAACAAATGTGCAGCTAAAATGTTTGCTAATGAAACTTCAAAATCTATAGTTATCTATTAAAAGCAAAATACTGTAATAATGGGCTCTCCTTACAACACTCTAGGAATAAAATATTTTTCTTGCCAGTTAAGTTTTCAGGACTTTAAAAAACCACAAAGTTGATTTCCTTCTTAGTTTGGATATATTTTTAAAATTCATGTTAATATAAAATAATTTAAATAAATTGTTTATCCTATTAGAATATAACCAAGTTCCAAGTAGTTGGGAGGACACAGGAACCCAAAGTTACTTTACCTTTATGGCACTTTCACAAATGCCTTTAAGAGCTGAAGAATAGGACAGAATAGACGAAACTATATGAAATGAGGATTTTTGACTAGGCCAGAAATAAAGCAGTGAGGATATGCAATTCTCACAAGTAATTCCCAAGTTGTTTAACTTTATCATGTATTGCCATTCTAATGCTCTCAAGTCTAAAGAGGAGCAAGAAATGCAATAGGCAATGAGGTAATTACGCCTAAGGAAACTACGTGACTGAGGGCAAGGTATCCTCTCGCTCCTCCCCAGTCTTCAGGTGTGTCACAGTTCATTTGGGAATGACATGTATGGCAGACTGGCAGAGGGATTAACAAGCTAGAGGGTATGTGTAGAAAAGGGAGGAAAAAGACATGCTTCTCCATGAGTTACTTCTGTCCTCTCTGCTCACCCAGTTGCTCCAAGGGGTGGATTTTTATCCTTGCTTTACAAACACGAAAGAAGTTTAAATGGGAAGTTAGTTGTACTATCCTGTATGCATGCTCACCCATCACAATTTGGATTGGTTCCTTAGTTGTGGTCAAAGTTAGAATGACCTCACCCATGTATATTCCACAAAGTAACCTTAACAAACTTCATATATTCTCAAAAATAGCTTTTGCAGAAAGAAAACTTACACAGAAGAGCCCAACTGTATATGATCCAATTACAAAAAAGATCTCCGATTTTATTTCTTATATATTTTGCACAAACAGGAAAGAGAGACTGAAAGCTACTACACATGTTGAACTGCTGACAGGAAAAGAACCCCGTATATAAATCTAGAGTTTCCCCTCCATGTATTACCTTGGGCTGCCATAACAAAACGTCATAGACTGGCTGGCTTAAGCAACAATTTACTTCTCACAGTTGTAAAGCCTGAAGTCTGAGAACAGGGTGCCAGCATGGTTAAATTCTTGTTAGGGCTCTCTTCTTGTTTTGTAGACAGCTGACTTCATGCTGCATCCTCACATGGAGCAGAGAGGAAGCAGGCTTTCTGACGTCTCCTCTTATAAAGGCACTATCACTGAGGGCTTTACCCTTATGATCTCATGTAATCCTAACTGCCTCCCAAATGCCTCATTTCCAAGTACTATCACATTGATGGTTAGGACTTTAACATAATATATTTTGGTGGGGGGAGGACACAAACATTCACTCCATAACTCATACGACACCAATCACTTATTGCATACCGATATTGTTACATGAAAATACCAATGTTTATTCATATAAATATAGATGATTTATTTCCACATAAAACAACACTAATTTCTCCTGGCTCTGAAATCCTCATTCTTCATTATATCTTTTTGTTTGTTTTTCGAGACAAAGTTTTGCTCTTTTTGTCCAGGCTAGAGTGCAATGGCACAATCTCAGCTCAGTGCAACCTCCACATCCCAGGTTAAAGCGATTCTCCTGCCTCGGTCTCCCAAGTAGCTGGGATTATAGGCATGTGCCATCACTCACAGCTAATTTTGTATTTTTAGTAGAGATGGGGTTTCTCCACGTTGGTCAAGCTGGTCTTGAACTGCTGACCTCAAGTGATCTGCCCACCTTGGCTTCCCAAAGTGCTGGGATTATAGGCGGGAGCCACCACGCCTAAAATCTTCACTGTATCTTGGTTCTTTTACTGTTGGCTTGCCTCAGCCATATTAGATGTTCAAACCATGAAGATCATATATCCTCATGACCATGGAGATGGTACAGTAAGGTTTCTACTGCTATACACCATTATGAGTGATACCTTTTTCTACCTAAAGAGTCACTTTTACCTCACCCATAAGTGTGTCAGCTGAAAGTGGCACCCTGTTTTGTCAAGAAGTTCCTTATATTTGATAGTTCTAGATCTGAGAAACAGACTCAAATTCTTTTTTCTGTGACCATAAATTAGGTTCAAAGCCCCATAATGGACTTCACAATTCTACTTTGTTGTATGTGACCAATGAATTATCTTTAAAACTATGTTGGAAGTAAAATATCAGTAATCATTTGATATTTATGACACAGAGTCTTGCTCTGTTTCCTAGGCTGGAGTGCAGTGGTGCAATCTCAGCCTGCAACCTCCACCTCCTGGATTCAAGCAATTCTCCTACCCCAGCCTGTCTAGTAGCTGGAATTATAGGTGCACACCACTGCACCCAGCTAATTTTTGTATTTTTTAGTAGAGATGGGGTTTCAAAAGTTGGCCAGACTGGTCTCGAACTCCTGACCTTATGATCCTCCCACCTCAGCTTTGCAAAGTGCTGGGTTACAGGTGTGAGCCACCACACCCGGCCAGTAATTCTTATCAAAAGAAAAATGATCTTCATTCACAATGACTGACCAAACTTCTGAGTTTAATTTCAAATCCTGAGGTCAAAATCATCAATGACTTTTGCTCTTTGGCTTTCAAAGTGGGACACATCATCAAAAGGTCCCATATACATAAAATTTACATTATAGACAAAGATGTATTTGCCATATCTTTGATAGATTTAAAACACCTTTAGGCTTTTCCTTCAGAATGTGTATTCTGATGTCGAATCAGGGATGAACTCCGACTATATGCCTTCCCACATTTACTACATTCATACGGCTTCTCTGAAGAATGACTTCTCTGGTGTCGAATAAGGTCTGACCCACTACTAAATGCCTTCCCACATTCATTACATTCATAGGGTTTCTCTCCAGTATGACTTCTTTCATGTAGAATAAGAGATGTGCGCTGACTAAAGGCTTTACCACATGTTTTGCATGTATATGGCTTCTCTCCAGTGTGAATTCTTTCATGTTGGGCAAGGTGTGCACTCTGGCTGAAGGCCTTCCCACACTGATCACATTCATAGGGTCTGTCTTCAGTGTGAATTCTCTTATGTCGAGTGAGAGATATTCGGTGACTGAAGGCTTTTCCACATTCCTCGCACTGGTAGGGTTTTTCTCCAGTATGAATTCTTTGATGTTCAATAAGAAATGACTGGCGGCCAAAAACTTTACTACATTTATGGCATTTGAAAGGCTTCTCTTCAGAATGAATGTTCTGATGTATTTTAAGGTTTGCAGTTCCAGAAAACATCTTTCCACATTCCTTACACTCAAATAGTTTCTTTTTCCTTGTATGAACTTTCTGATGTTGAACAAAGGATGAATGCCGATTGCAGACCTTCTCACATTTATTGCATTTGTATAGTTTTTCTCCATTATGAATTCTGAGATGCAGAATAAGGGTTGAAAGCCGCCTGAAGAGCTTGTCACATTTATTACATTTGTACGGTTTCTCTGAAGTGTGAATTCTCTGGTGAAGCATAAGGGGTGAAATCCTATTAAAGAATTTCCCACATTTTCTGCATTTATAAGGATTCTCTAAATGGTGACTTCTTTGCTGTAGACTCTGACTTAAGGCCTTCACACTTTCAGGGGTTTTCTCTCCATCATAAATTCTTTTATGTATAACAAAGACCGGTTTCTTTTTGAAGCCTCTCCCACATTTATTATATTTACGTGTTTTCTTTCCATTATGAATTCTCTTATGAAGTAAAAGGGATGACATATGACTGAAGGCTTTCCCACACTTTCTGCACTGGCAGACATTCCCAACTATGTGAGTTTTCTGATGTGTACTGAAAGACTGACATTGACTCAAGGCCTTCCCACAGTCAAGAGTTTCCTTTCCATCATGAATTCTCCTATGTAGAATAAAAGTTGTTCTTTGATTGAAGCTTTCCCCACATTTATCGCATTCATGGCTTTTCTTTCCATTGTGAATTCTCTGATGAAGTATGAGGGATGAGATTTGTCTAAAAGCTTTTCTACAATTACTGCATTCAAAAGGCTTCTCTCCAGTATGAATGTTCTGATGAAGTTTAAGAGAGAAGCTTCGACTAAAGGTTTTACCACAGTCATTACATTTTAAAGGTTTCTTCCCTGAATGCCCTTTCTTAGGTTTTATTAGGACTAAATTTTGATTGCAGCCACTCTTTCGTGTAGCAGCTTTTTGTTGTGCAGAAACTGGTTTCTGGCAGATGCTTTGCCCAGATTTGTAGCATTGATTTGGAGGTAACTTCTTGGTGTCACCCTTAGACCCCGAGTCTGAAAGACAACAGGAAATTAAATGTTTCTGCTTTCCTGTGCTGAAAAAAAAATGAAGATCCTACAATATAAATGCAGTTATCATTATTAATCATAACAAGTTATGATTACCAAAACAATAACTTTTTAATGTTTTATCAAGGTTTTGATGACCATACTAAAGGCTGTAGAGATATTTAATAACCAGAATTCAGAACAGTCTATAATTTGAAAATGAGTAAGTCAAGATTTTATTTGTAGAATAACTTTTATGCCATATACTGCACAATGAACTCCACAGGCTGGTCATTTGATAAACGTATATTTATTAGAGAAGATGTCTAGAAAAGACAAATCTACAGAGACAAAAGGTAAGTGGTTGCCTAGCACTCAATGTAGGAATGGGGATTAACTGTAAATGGACATTAGGAATCTAACAGCAGTGATAAAAATGTTCTACAACTGGATTATGTTGATAGTTACACACTCTGTACATTTAGCCAAAATAATTTAATTATATTCCAAATATAGTTACTTTTATGATGCTTACCTCAATAAAGTTGTAGATTTTAAAAAATGTATTCTTAAAACCAAATTTAAAAAGAACTGGTAACAATTAGAATTGAGTACAGTCATGTGTTGCTTAACAATGGGATATGTTTTAAGAAATGCATTGTCAGGCAATTTCCTCATTGTGCAAACATCTTAGAGTACATTTACATAAACTTAGATAGTACTGCCACTAAGCACTTATGCTATATTATATAGCCTATTGTTCTCAGGCTATAAACCTGCACATGATGTTCCTGAATTGAATCCTGTAGGCAATTTTAACAGTGTTAAGTATCTGTGTATCTAAGTATACGTAAATGTAGAAAAGTTACAGTAAAAATACAGTTTTATGATCTTACAGAACCATGGCCATATATGTAGTCTGTTGTTGACTGGAATGAAACACCATTATGAAGCATATAACTATATTTAGATATCTACAAAGGAGAAGACTGTAAACTAGCAAGAAGGAGGAAAAAAACTCAAAAAAATAGGTAGGAGATTAAGCTAAAAAGAAGAAATCTATTATTTAGTAAAACAGACCAAGGTAGCATAGGGTATAAAAGTCCAAGATGAGCGCCGGGCGCGGTGGCTCAAGCCTGTAATCCCAGCACTTTGGGAGGCCGAGGCGGGTGGATCACAAGGTCGAGAGATCGAGACCAACCTGGTCAACATGGTGAAACCCCGTCTCTACTAAAAATACAAAAAAAAAAATTAGCTGGGCATGGTGGTGCGTGCCTGTAATCCCAGCTACTCAGGAGGCTGAGGCAGGAGAATTGCCTGAACCCAGGAGGCGGAGGTTGCGGTGAGCCGAGATCGCGCCATTGCACTCCAGCCTGGGTAACAAGAGCGAAACTCCGTCTCAAAAAAAAAAAAAAAAAGTCCAAGATGAGGCCGGGCGCAGTGGCTCAAGCCTGTAATCCCAGCACTTTGGGAGGCCGAGGCGGGTGGATCATGAGGTCAAGAAATCGAGACCATCCTGGTCAACATGGTGAAACCCCGTCTCTACTAAAAATACAAAAAATTAGCTGGGCATGGTGGCGCGTGCCTGTAATCCCAGCTACTCAGGAGGCTGAGGCAGGAGAATTGCCTGAACCCAGGAGGCGGAGGTTGTGGTGAGCCGAGATTGCGCCATTGCTCTCCAGCCTGGGCAACAAGAGCGAAACTCCGTCTCAAAAAAAAAAAAAGTCCAAGATGATATAAAATAACTACTTGTGTGTCAAACTGACTATACAGCCTGAGTGAATGTGGCATGATAAACAGAGGCTTTAGAATTATGCTGTCCAATATAGTAGCCATTAGTCACTTGTAGCTACTGAACAATTGAAATGTGGCTGGTTTAAGGTATACTATGAGTATAAAATATATGCCAGATTGTGAAGATTTGCTACAAAAAGAAGTGTAAATAATCTCATTGTAAAAATATTGGTTATATGATATAATGTGTTGGATATATTAGGTTAAATAAATATATTACTAAAATTAATTTTACCTGTTTGTGTTAGGAAGTTCTTGTATTGCTATAAATAAATACCTGAATGGGTAATTTATAAACAAAATAGGTTTAATTGGCTCATAGTTCTGCAGGCTGTACAAGCATGGTGCTGGCACCTTCTTGGCTGCTGGGGAGGCCTCAGTGAGCTTTTACTCGTGGTGAAAGACAAAGTAGGAGAAGGCACATCACATGGTGAAACAAGGAGAAAGAGAGTGTGGATGAGGTGCCACATATTACAACAACCAGGTTTTGTAAGAACTCACTCCCTATTGCTAAGACATCACCAAGGGAATGGTGCTAAACCATTCATGAGAAATCCACCCCCATGATCCAATCACCTCCCACCAGACCTCACCACCAACACTGGGGATTAAATTTCAACATGAGATTTCAACACAGAACACAGATCCAAACCATATCACTGTTTTTAAATTTTTGTGTTTTTTTTTTGTTTTGTTTTGTTTTTAAAGATGGGGTTTCACCCTGTTGGTCAGGCTGGTCTTGAACTCCTGACCTCAGGTGGTCCACCCACCTTGGCCTCCAAAGTGCTTGGATTACAGGCGTGAGCCACCATGCCCGGCCTAAATTTTAGTTTTAATGTGGATACCAAAAATGTTTTCAGTACACACGTGGCTCACATTATATTTCCATTTCTAGCTGTGCTTTAAAGGCAGACATTACTGAATTAACAGAGGTGATGTTCATTTAACTACATAACCTTGTGACACACTCATTAACTTTATTACCATAAGCATATTACCTTTAAAATACAGATATAATCACCTATCTCACAAGGTTTTCATGAGAATTGGAAATAATAAGCAAACTTTCTGGCACATGCTATGACTTAATCTGCCATTCCAGTATTCAAAAAGCTGAGAACCAAAGCCTTCTTTCCTTTTTGAATGTTTGGACATTTGGAGTGAAATCCCATATGAAATGTAATGAGGCTATTCATAGCCTCCATTTACTGCTCTTAGGAAGTCTAGTCATTTGTCTTTATAGCCACCTCAATGTGTTTGATTTTGGGGTGCTGCTCCAGCCCCTGCTAGAGTTATGTTATGTCGCATATAGTATAGAAGTATGTTATGTCACATATAGGATGTGACCTGTTTACCTTCCTAAAATCTGTACAATTCTGAATTGTGAAACACATCTTGCTCCAAGGGTTCTAGAGAAAGCTTTGTGGATCTGCAGTTGCTTAATAACTGGTAGTGGCTGCCCTTAAAATTATTAGTATAAGTTCCACAAAATAACCAGACAAAGTAAGGAATTAACACAGGAAGATAATGGAAATGTTTACAGTGCAGCTAGCAACATCAGCAAAACAAGAAAATTCATCCGACAGTGGGTTCATCCTATACTCCTTCCCACCCACATTCCATTAAGTCACATCAATTAAGCTGCTTCTCCCACTCACATTTTCCATAAACTCTTAGCTACCCTTCCTTTATCTTTGTACCTTCCTTTGTTCCTTCCTGTGTGGAATACTAACATATCCCCTCAGCCCATCTCCCCATCTTCAATGTGGAAGTACTTAAACCACACCATATGCCAAAATTAATCCCAGATGTATTAGTTCAATATGAAAGTACACAACCATTAAAAACAAAATAAGATAATATGAAAGATACCCCAAATTCTAGAAACTAGATGCATTTCTAACTATGAAAATAAAAAGAAAAATTACGGTGTGAATACCAATACTTCCAATCACACAAAAATGAAAAAACTTTCACATAGACAGAAAAATAAGACATAAATGGAACAAATGGAAAGAATGGGGAAATAGTCGAAGTAAAATTTAACATCAAATGGTTAATGCATTTTCTATATGAAAGCTTACTATACAAGCAGAAAATAAAAATCAAAGTCACTGCTAGATAAAAGGGGAAATATCATGAAAAATAATTCACAAGAATAAGCAAAAACAGAAAACAACTGTTAATAAATCTACAAGAAAAATTTATGGCCTAGCCAGTATGGGTAAACCAATGTGGATGTACAGTCTATCCACAAGGGCTCAAGAAACAAACTGGTATATGGGAGGCTGAGGCAAGAAAACTACTTGAGCCCAGGAGTCTAAGGCTGCAGTGAGCCATGACCGCACCACACACTCCAGCCTGGGTAACAGAAGACCCTGTCTCCTTAAAGAAACAAACAAACATGCTGGCTAATGCCTGTAATCCCAGCACTTTGGGAAGCTGAGGTGGGCAGATCATGAGGTCTGGATTTCGAGATGAGTTTGGCCAACATGGTAAAACCCTGTCTCTACTAAAAATACAAAAATTAGCCAGGCGTGGTGACACACGCCTGTAATTCCAGCTACCCAGGAGGCTGAGGCATAAGAATTGCTTAAATCTGGGAGGAAGAGATTGCAGTGAGCCAAGATCAGGCCAATGAACTCCAGCCTGGGAAACAGAGTGAGACTCCATCTCAAAAAACAAATAAACAAAACAACAACAAAAAAGGAGAAAGCAGAGGAGCCAGATGGCTAAATAGAGACCTCCAGCAATTGTCCCCTCTGCAGTGACACCAAATTGAACAACTATCCACACAAGAAAGCACCTTCACAGGAGCCAAAAATTAGGTGAGCCATCAAAGTATCTGGTTTTAACATCATATTCAAAGAAAGAGGCACTGTCAAAGAAAGAGTTACTGACGAGGGTAGAAAAGGTAGTCATAATTTTCCTGCACCATCCCTCCCCCAATGCCTGGCAGTGCAGCATGGCAACAAGAGAGAATCTATGTGTTTGGAGGAGAAGAATGGACTGATTGTGAGACTGCATTGGAACTCAGTGCTGCCTTGTCACAGCAGAAAGCAACACGGGGCAGAATTTGGCCAGCACCCTCAGAGGAAGCATGTAGATCAGCTCTAGCCTGAGGGGAATTGTTCACCACAGTGGTGGAAACTTGAGTTCCAGCAAGTACCTCCACCACAGACTAAAACACTCTGGTGTCCTAAGTAAATGTG